TTYCCMAAARRAMSSMAATTACCTCTATTACAACAATAGAAGATAAGAAAGACGCAAATGCCGCYTCTATCTCTCGATTTTTATCGAACTAAATATAAATGCCTCCAATTTATATAATCTACTTTGCTGTTGATTTTACTGATCAGKCTTTGTCAGAATATATTGTAAAAATGTATCCACTTCAAAAAATTTAAGTCAGAATGAAAAAAAACTGAGATGCATTTCAATGTTTAAGATGATGACTGATTTGGATTCGTTATTACAGTTTGTTTGAATCTACTAAGATTACGTTCGCCCCGGTCTATACACCATACGTTTTCGTGAAGCTGTGCCTATTTGTCTGAGCAAATACCTTTAGAAATACATGTATCTATTGATTTTAGTGGTACCGAAAATGGTTAAAGAGAATACAAGCGAAAGCAATCAACTATATGACAATCTTTTTGAATATTTGCTTGATGTAATCTTTTAATTAATGCTATACAAAAATGAAAAATAATTAGCGTTTTTAATTTTTTTTACGAAAATAGTTTTGTGGCATTGATGTTTTACTGTAGAAATTCTCTTTTAAAGTTTCCCCAACAATTTTCTATAATTCCGCCATTCAAAGTCCMAGGAAAAATTTGGATGAACTTTAACGTAGATTCAGTTYCCAACTTTGTTGTTGTGATATCTTCCATTGTTTGACAAAGTCAAATTTCCTTKATAGAAATCCCCATTAACAATTATGACAAAAGTGCAAAGTTATAGCTCACGAAATTATCAATAATTTATTCCACAGATGTTACTGCTGTATGTGGATACCATTTATTCTCGATGGATTAAAGAATGTAGTTCACACTTGTCCAAAATGCGGTGAAAAGCTCGCTGAATATAGYCGTCTAAGAATGGACCGTATATGGAAAAAGAAAAAGAAACATAGACAAGCACAGCACCAATTCAGTACATCTCAATCCCAGCGATAGTTTTACTTTGGAAATAWGGTGATCTTTATATCATAARGTTACGGGGAATTYATTTTTTGCTTCGGAAAGAAGGCTACACACATTAAAAAGGACTTTGGGAAATAACACCAGGATTCCTGGAAAACTAATAAAGGACACTGTCAGTAGCCGCCAGAATGTTCGGGGATTAAATGGACGAAGACTGTGGTACACTATGCAGACCATCTGCACGCATGGAAGTTGACCACAACCGCAAAGAATCATTGGTTATTAAACGAGCCACGGCCGCAAAGACTACCTGGGAATAAAATGCACTACGACCGCAAAGAATGTGTGGTAATTGATGGAGCTACGACCGCAAAGACTATCTGTGAACTAAATGAGCTACCACCGCAAATAATACTTTTTGGAATTAGATGAGGCACGACCGCAAAGATTCTCTGGGAGCAAAATTAAATACGCTCGCAAAGAATCAATGGTAATTAAATGAGTCAATGGTAATATACATGTAAAGGAGGTACGACCGTAAAGACTTTCTGTGAACTAAATGAACTATAACCGCAGAGAATGTTTGGGAATTGCATGAGGCACGACCGCAAAGACTCTCTGGGAGCTAAATTAAATACGCTCGCAAAGAATCAATGGTAATTAAAAGAGTCACGCGACCGTAATACTGTCTTGGAACTAAATGAACTAAAACCGCAAAGGGAGTTAAATGCAAATGAAAAAACATAAATATTATGAAACAAAACGCATGAGATTTCACCATTCCTTCTCAAAAACTAACTTTAAATCACGACGGTCTCATATAAATCATTTGTAATTGCTACAGTTTATTGTAATAAGTAAATGGTAAGCTTTGCATCAGCCCGCKCACATCGTGCGAAACGCATAGGCTATGAACAATTGTGCTTATTAACAACTACATTTTACCAGAGCTGGAGTTGTTTTCTGAAACCCGTGCAACAGAGTCTACTTATTAAATCAATAGACTTCTGAACCGTTAACGTCACTACTTGATTAATTTTTCAATGCATTGTGGGATCAGCTATAAGAGAAAACAAAAGAAATCCACCATGTTTTGTCCCAAACATATCCTACAATACATTATGTATACGGTACATAACGTCAAAGCTTCAGAGGTCTATTAAACCGCAAATACGCTAAAGTGTACTGATTTCACTGATTACAGTGGTTCTCAAAACCCGTRACATTCGAGCCTGCTTCACATTATTACTCGACTTTAGTTGTCCACGTTATTCTTTGTCCTTTTGGTCCATCAAACTTTATTACATTTTGATTGTTAAAGTTTGTTTCACGGGTTTTTGAAATCCACTCAACTAACACTGTTTTTAGTATGTAAATACAAATGCCAAATAGGACTACCTTTAGAAAAATTGAGAATCTATGAATTCATAATYACTTTTTTTTGCGTTGCAATCGATTTCGTGTTGTCGCTCTACACAACACTGATGCAACTCAGTAAAAAAATAATGAAAGGGACCCCTTTTAAGCGGGCATTTTTTTCTACTCAACAACCGGACTATCCGGCAATCTGACTTACTATAAACAAAGCGACCACTGTTCTAACTGTCGAGTAGGACAGGAGTTTTGGTTTGTCTTTTTTCCCTATTAAAAACAAGCAATGTTTTCTGCGCATAATAGTCAGCCAGCAACATGCTAAGAAATACTGCAATATACTTGTTATTTTACCTAAAATACTTATCATTCCACAGACATGTTAATAAAAGTTAAGTTAAACGAAACATTTGAACACGAAGCTTTAGTGCGCTTCGTGTTGAACTGCTKTRATGTGCYTGTACGRTTTTGAGTGTTCGCAATAGTGAGGTGTCCGTAATACGAGGTGCCCGTCATGTAGTTAAATTTTCGTAAGAGAGAAAACTACTAGAAATGTTTCACTAGGTTTCACGGGTTTGACACAATACAAATACATAGTTTTGTTTCACGGATTTATGAAATCAGTCCACTTGCTGTTTTAAATARCTATTTAGTGATTTTAAGAAACAACACATTGACACCTGCGTTCTTTCTGTTACTACATCCTATCAGAAGTTCGCTCGAAGGCAGGTATTTTATATAAAATCTATCCTTCCTACCCTACCCCTTGATGACAGGATTGGTTATCAAGACTTCACTTCCGGCGGAAATGATTGGTACTTTGTTCAGCAAATGAAAAGATACCAATTGACTGACACTTTCGAATTCTTTGTCTTTAGTKCGTACCTGTCAATCAAAGACAGATCGACCAATCAATACAACAAATAAGATAGCGTCATTTATACCAATTTCTTTTCAAGTGAAAACATAGCTTTAAGAATAAGTAATAGAAAATTGAGAAGGTCAAAAAAAGGTGAAGATTTTCCAGATGAGAATGTCCAAAACGTTTAAAACATTCACCACAGAACCACGCTTGATGTTTTAGAAAAGACAGCAATAAACAAAGTATGTTTACCTTTCCTTCAGGATCAACCAATAGCAAATGTCGTTTATTATTATTTCGGACTCCTGACAAGACATATTGACCTGGTTGACGCTTACTCTCCCTCACTAAGAAATCTCCTTCGTCTTCAAGCAGCAGCTCTGCCGCAGCCCGCGATATCTGACCATGAAACCATTCCTTGTCTTGAAGGGAGTCTTGCTCTGGAAAATTAATGCATTTGAGGATTAACATTGGTCTTAAACTTCATCACCTGGATACCTTGGCTGGGTTTCCTTTGTTATGGGGACCAGAGAGGAATGGGCCCCACCCAAAGGAAGTCCAGAGTCTAGAGATTTTAGCAATCTTCATTATCATCTTTGACTTCATCAACATCATCATCATCAACATCATCATCATCAACATCATCATCATCAACATCATTATTATCATCATCTCAGACTCCACTGACATCACAAATAATGCAGTTCCTACTTGACAATGGGGGAATGCTTTGTCCACAAATCAGTATAAAAACTTTTAGCCTTCTTATTCTTACAAGGGTTACGTGTAGTACAGTATTATAATACTTTTTATAGCACAACGATTTGTTTGTGGCATGAAGACTTACTTGGTTTTTGTGGATCTGTCTTTGATAAAGCATAGGGCAATGGTTTTGGTGGAGGTTTTGCTGCTTGATTTTCTGGATGAGTGTCCATGGGGGGAGGGGGTGGGGGAAGATCACCAAAGGCTGTCCAGTTGGCTATTGACAAAATAAATTCTATAAAATTTGACTGTCTCTGACCTTGTATACCCCCAAAGCAAATTGGATGAAAAAAATGGGATGAACAAAATGAAAAAGATCAAAAAATCAAATAGATGAGTAACTTCCAAGTATAATATGACAACCCAAGTTCTCTCACTCTTTCATCCGTATGAAAGGAAAATTTCACATTTGATCAACAACACCTACCATTATGAGATCCATTTGCAGCCCCAAAGCTAGGCACAGGCTCATCCATGATATTTTTTGGTAGACTGTCCACACGTCTCGGCGCTGTAAAATCAGATTTGTTGCCAGCCAAAGGATTCTCGTAGTATGCAGACTCTGAGGATGCACTATGWRGACTGCCATATTGCGCCCCTGCTGCAAAGCCTAAACTGTCTCTTAAACTGTTCCTTGGCACGTCGTAATTACCAAAAGTCTGAGGTTGAGTTGTTCTATTTTGTAGAGGAGCATAAGCACCCGCACCACTTGTTTGGCCGACTGGTAAAGGCACTTTATATTCATGGGATTCCTGTGATTTAAGAACACTGATGAACACTTGCCTTGCACATCATCACATTTTTACAATCATCATTACAATCAGCTTACACTTTTTGCTGGTCCTTCCAGCCTGGGATCGGCATACTCAGGGCAGTCATCATCATCATCAGCTATTTCATTATATTGCGGTTCTGCAGCTTCCTCAAAAATAGAAATTTCTGAAAACCTAAAACCACAAAATAAATGATAGTTTTTTGTTTAAGAGCAAGAAATGTAAGAAGATAAGAATATCAAAATTTCATGAAAWACTCACTTTCCAGGTACTTCCATGGCTTGTGGTGGATTTTCRAGAAACATTTTATAGCGTATCTCAAAAGCCTGCCCAATGGTGTTGATAACGTCATATGCTAGACCACCACCACAGTCCACCACATGGCATGCTGACAGAAAAGAAAAACAACATAACATTGGCAATGGTCTCCTTTAAACCTCCCTGCACTATCTTATAAGTCATTCAGTAATGCAGTACCAATTGAAACCTGCTTTTTGATTGCTCCTTAAGTACAGCACCACTATTGTTAGGTTAGGTTTTGTTATATTGTTGGAAGACTTATCTATTGTTTGTCCATTGTTTTCTCAACCTATCATGAGACCCGTTCCGAGCGGTGCTACCTGGCTTAAGTCATTGGTTTGGTTGTTTTCTCATTTCAACAAAATTTATACATTAAAACTATTTTTTCAACTCAATTCGCTTATATAAATAACAGTATTTTTACCTCTTCCATTGACTTCATCTTTTGCAACATATCCTACCATGTCTATGCAGTCCTAACAGAGTAAAATAACAAAATAAGCATCAACCAAGACATAAATAATAATTCCTCTAGTTTTGAGCAGTTTGAAGAGACAAGGACATAAGTTAAAGCCCATATTTTGTGTCTTGCCAAAGCATGTGATAATGCAATATTGTTTCTAATGCTTCTCTGTAGTAGAATAATCCAAGTGCGTTATAGTTAACAGACAATCACCCAGTGTATGGCTACCCTGGCCAAAAAATAACTTATGCGTACACAATGTCTGGCAAATCTCAAGTTTGTCCAGACAAAGTGTCTTAAACATAGATTTGACCAGAGATTTCTTGCTGAGAGGCTCTTCTTTTTGCCCTACACTGGTTTTCTGATAAAGCCTGTTTTCTGGAAATTTCATAACAAATACTCACCTTCTCTCCTCCACTTGCAAAAGAAATTCCTTGCATGTCATGATAACCTATTTTACGCCCTGTGTCTATTGCTGAAAGCTTGATTCCTGTTGCAGATATYGTCATATTGGAACTGGAACCAGAAAACTTCATATTGGGAATGTCTGGTAAAAACAATAACAATGTTTCAATACAATATACATAGAAAATATATGCTTTGCATGCAATTATAATTTTTAATAAAAGTGCTATAAATAAATCAAATAAAGATTAGAACAAATATTACTGAGTGTATAATTATGGTTGATCAAATCATTTCTTTTTAAGTTTAAAAACTTACCTCCTAAAATTTTTAGAATGTTCTTGTGAGCCTAGAAGATAAAACAAACAAACAAAAAAAGAATAACTCAATGAATCAAAAAATAAATTAATAAATATTTGAGCCTTTGGACTATCCCTCCACTCTTTGGATAGAAGTGTCCCTGATTTTCTCCACTGGGGAGGATGTGAGAGGGAATAAAAAAAGAAATATACAGCCTATAAACAAATGAATGAATGGAAGTGAGAATGAATAAATGGATGGGAGATGAGCAAAAGATTGATATAAAGAAAGAATGCAATGGATGAATAAATGAATACGAAAATGAAATGATTAAAAGAATAAATGAACAAATAAATTAATGGATGAGCAATAGATAAACAGAATTGCACTTCAGATTATTCATTCATAAAACCAACCTTTTTTCTTTTATTTAACTGATATCCTGCCGTCTCACAGCATTTTAAAATGGCTTCCCTAGAGTCAGAGGAAATTTCAATCAACAAAAGTATATCAATTTTGTTATTTTGYCAAGGCATAACCTTTGAGAATATGCAAATCCTTGAACTATACAGAAATTCCGATTCCGGATTATCCGTAAATAGAAATGACGAAATGTTATTACAATGTTTATGTTGTCAAAGTAAATAATAAGATACAAAAGGGCATTTAACGAACAATATTGCAATATAGCTACAAAGAGCGAAAGTTTACCAAGTTTTATTGCTGAAACACGCCGAAAATGTTGAGCATTTTTGAATCATAATAAATGGTATTAATACGTATCAACTTACATGAAATCGAACGTCATAAGTGTGTTGTATATCAAAAACATTATTGGCAGTATTAACTCGTTTCGATGTAAGCTTAACTTACGAAATTCTCTAAGTACTTTAACTTTCGACTCCTTTTTAGCGAGACTCAATTCAATTTAGAGACTCAATTCAATTTAGTCTTTTCAATTTAAATTTTAAAGGTGAAAATGTCAAAATTTTCAAGTGTTAATGGGTTAATATTTTATCACTATTTTTGATATCTGACAGAGTCGAATCGATTAACGTTTCAAAGGAACGGAAATAGCCAGTTTTAAAACGAAACATACTCAGATCGAACACTTTGAGTACTTTTATGCAAAGTACTGAATTTTAAACTTTTGATTTAGCTTRATTAATTGGGAATTTATTTGAGGTTTCGTCTTCGTACCTTGTAACTTGCTGTCTCATATCATACTGAAGTGTCCTCATCGACTTTTCAACAGGAATGCATCCAACATACTGCAAAGCAAGCGCCAAAAAGTACAAATTATACAATAATATATACAGAATAAAACAACGATGAGTGATGAAACTTACTTTTACAGCGTAACAAACACCTCCTTCCCGCAAATTCTCCTCYGAGTGCAGCCATCCTCGTTCTGGCTTATGCATGAAACTTCCCGTCTTCGTCCACTCAGAAATTGCGTCTTTCTTCTTTCCAAACATGACACCCTTAATCAAAAGTACTGAAACTACATGTCACTCACTATCAATCCTCGTTTCAGCTGTGTTAAAAACTTTTTTCCGACTTCTGCGTCGAAGGAAATAAGATCACGTGAGCCCGCAGTGCTTCACATTTTTGGACAGCGGAATTTTTCCACAGGAAGCCCAATTTTAGTWTTTACAGAAGTGCATGAAAATGTATTAAGTACACACTTGACATTTCAGCTCCAGTGTTATGGAAATTATGAAAATCAATATGCAGGCTTATTTTTTATATTAATCAATTTTTTTTTATCATCGAACTTGMTGAAAACACCTAGTGATTAAACATATTTTATGATTCATATTTCTTGGCTTCATTTCACTACAGCTGATAATGATAGGTAGGAGTTGTCAGGTAACAGATGACCTGTTTCCCTGGAGATCAATGGGTCTGGGGGACCATGGTTTCCGTATCCACTGTTAGGAGAGTAAAAGTTCACAAAGTGAAGGAATCATGACGTATTAAAAAACAAAACAGCTGTTTTAAATAATTTTTTTTAATTTGTTAACCTTTTTACTTTTGCTCAGTTCATTCACAGATCTTTGCACTATTATCATTCATGTCATTCTGTAAGTACAGTTTTTCTTTCAAACTGATTTTATCATAATAATATTAGAATTCATTCAGAATACATCAATATTGCATAAAAATGGAAAATACCTGAAGAATTATAGAACCTAACTACATGTACTTGACTAAAAACTTCRCTTTTCCAAAGAGTAAATTTGGTCTTTATAATGCTACATATATACATGAGAATTAGGATTTTAAAGCTTGACTGATCACTTCAAAATGAACTAACAGCATATTGCAATCAAGTCTTACAAGACGGCCAAAAAAAAAGCAGAAAAGCAGCTCAAGCAACTTGTCGCTTAAAAAAACATCCATTCAAAAAAAGGTTACACTGTTTAATTTGAAAATGTTTGACACGATTGGTTAACTGGCTCTAAAATTTTTGTCTGACAAAGCATATAATTTTGAGATTCTGGAACTTTAACTGAKGGTTTTTTTCCCCAAGATTTCCCTTCATAGAGGAGCTATTCACTGCTCGAGTATGAAAATGTTGGATCCTTCATTGTGTTTTGTGTTGTAATAAGATTTGGTTCAAATCGATTATAAAAATACTATGTAAATACAATTGCGATATTAAATATTGTCTATGAATTATGATATAATGCACCCTTGAAAGGAGCTACCGCAGCATCTATTATCTATGTGTCGTGGAGGTATAAGATCCAAGTCTTCTTCATCTGATATTTCATCTAATCTAGATAGTCAAAATACAAAATAGKATGATTACAATATTATGTAAAAGTCTTAAACAAGACACAGTTATAAAAATAATACAAAAAGTGTACACTTCTGATGGTAAGTCAATCAGTTTAAAATCATACCTGTAACCATCTTTGAGCAATCTTTCCTCACATTCTGCAAGCTCCTACAATCAATACAAACAAATTTCAATGTTATAGTACATTATCAAATGACAAAAAATAGTAATAATGATAATAATAATAACTTATAAGACTTAATGGAAGGTTGATGGAAAAGAAAGACTATAAGGAATTGGCAACTTTGCATGATTATGGAATTTGTTACGTTCATCCGTACAATCATCACACACTACATAGTGTTTCTCTGTCTTAAAATGGGAGTAACCACAAAAACAAGCATTGATCACAATATCTATTCCCTAGCAGGGTATTCGTCACACAATAATTGGAATTAAAACCACACCAGCTTGCCTACCTTTGAATTTTGCATTACTGAGACATTTGTTGATTTTGAATTAAATCGTGTTATYGTCAATTCTTCGTCGCTATCCGAATCCATTGAAAATAATGGTTTTTGGTCTGATTTGTGTCTGTGACTTTTAGGATTTTTATATCTTGCAAKTCTGAAAATGAACAAAATTATGACAATAAGTTTCAAGACGTTAGTTGATCATATCACGACATAATATTCAGATAGATTTAGTTTAGTTACTTTGATAATTCAAAATAACATCCATTGACCAGATGGACAGATTTATAAAGGTTCCAAGAAGAATTACTGTTTATGAATAAAACTAACCAAAATGAAGGAGCCTAGTAACAACCACATAACCACATAACTTCAAGAACATACCCATTAGGTTGTGAAGTTACCACTCCATTTTGATCTTTCTTTTTACTTTTTCGACTCTTTTTAAGCTGTTCTTCTGTAAGAAAAATAACTCAGTGCTGTTAATAAATGACTGTTTATTACATCATGCAAGCACTAAGGGATTAAATATTATTATTTATGTTAATGGCACTCCCTCTAGATAGTATTACACTCCCATATTTACCATGATAACTCTATCATACAGAAAAACACTTTTTATACTTCAGTGCAATAGAAAATAATTATATGACAAAAGAAAATCACWCTAAATGCTTTTCATTGTTTAAGTTTTAAATGTGTTCCTATTTGCACAAAGTAAAAGACAACCTTTTTTTATATAATCAGCTACAGTATAAATTGACTTCAACACATTAATAAGCAAAATTTAAACCACTAGTACCTAAAGTAACAACTCAGACAAAGCCTTATTGTAAAGCTTGATCAAGCACCTTCTATAAAACTAATATATGAATCCAAAATAAATAACCAACAGAGCCAGACATATTTGAATTCAACCAAGTTTAAACCCACTAGTTCTGTATTATGTTCAAACAKTTTCTTGACAATAAATTCAAAATACTTCCTATCTCAATTTACAAAGTTYCACTCCAACAATGCAGTGTATTGATGTTTTTGGTATTCTTTTGAACAATAATACAATTACTGTGCGTACGGTAATGTTTACTGATACACCTCAAAGTTGGATAATATAATTATTTGCCATGTATTATAGACAACATGGCCTAGAGGTCAAGMTGTTGACAATACAAACATGCTAATATTATCGTCATACATGAGGGCATGTGATGTAGTGACTTTATTGTGTGGGATGTTAAAATTTAGTAATGTGGAAAAAATCCTAAAATTTATTCCACTCCCAATTAACATTCTTCATCCCCCAAAAGTGAGACCAAATGAAATATTAATAAAGAACAAAAATTATACTACATTGTAAATTTATAATATTTAAAAATTCATATTTCATGAGAGTTCTTATATCATGAGCACTATATAAATGGCGGTATAAGAGGTATAAATCAGTGAAAGTTATATCATGTCGTCATGAAATTGTCTGATAGGAGTGATATCAATTAGTGTTACACAAAACATATAATCTCAAGAAAGCCGATTCAAATGTGCAACCTAATCTAACAAGGAAATATTCAAAAGTCACCTTCCATCTAAATAAGAAAAGATATTATCGCATTCAGTATATGTACGGGAGTTTTTAAGTTTTTTTTAGCTGTTTAAATTAGATTTTCCGACTAGCACGAAATAAGCTTACATCTACCATATAACTTAATATATGATAGCTTCTGGCTTACCTAACTTTATCTGCAAAGGCGATGGTCGGATACCTTTTTGACGAAGAACATCGCTACTCAAAGCCTCCTTCAAGAAAGGTAAACAAATCATAATGCATCTCTCAAAGTTAACAAGAACAACCATAAAACTTATGGTATTGAGCAACTTCATTGCCAAACCAAAACAAGTGAATTTCATTTTTCGTGTCATGAATTCAAACTCACCTTTTGAGCCGAATTTCCATTGCTATTCAAGTATAATGACCCATTAGTTCTTTCCTTTGACATTGAAATACAAACTAATAAGCTTCAAAGTCAGTATGGGTGGATTTTTGGATTATTTTTAAAGGAATATTACTTGAACGACACTTTTGCCATTGATCTAATGATCGTTCATACCCAGTCTCTCTGCTTGGTGCGCGGACGGACGTCTGACTCGTGACTTCCACCGGAAGTTGCCTAAAGTTCAAAGTCTGAAAAGCGAGCATTGAA